AGCGTATGCTTGCCCTCCTGCTCCTCCACACACCACAAAAATCAAACCAATTACCAGCTGACAGCTGTCCATAACATATAATAATAATAATAATCTTTGTAGGTTTGCGGGAAGTTTCTGAAACGTATGACTCTAAAAATGTTCCGACTTGATAGTGTAATTTGGACCTTACAAAACTAAAGAAAAGAAGAAAAGATTTTGTTTTTATTTTGGTTGTGGGTTTTAACATTTTAATTTTAATTTCCATGGGTCCGGAAACTAATTAGATATATATGAAACGCCGGCATTAAAAACAAAGACTGCCGGCGGCCGGACTTTTGTACGTTATCCCCTTTTTCCCCCCTAGCTAACACTGCCAAGAAAGAAAGTGACAAGAAGATGGCAATTACACCTCCAACGTGTTTACAGTTGGTCTCTGATATAGAAATACCAGGCCGGGAGAAAAGGAAAGCACAAGTGTGTTTAATTAATTTCGAATTTCTATAATAGTTTTTTTGGCTGTTTAATTAATTATTTTTAATCAATTTCTGACTTTATAAAACGGAGTAAGTAACAATTAGAGTGGAACTGTCATGTTCACAATAAAACTTTGTTGTTGTCAGAATTTCTTTTCAACTTTCTTCTTCCGATATCAGAAATACATAAGTATGAAAGATTGTTACATCCAAACTTTGATCAAGAGACTACTGGGGTAATTTGCATGTTTCTACTAACAATTTATAGTAGGGATAATTAACACTCTAAAAAAATTGATTTTTTCACGACGTTCGATTTTTTATTCATGTACTAACTCAACGTGACATACATGTATAGTATATAGTGTAGATAACGTCAAAGGTACAAGTTCAGCTTGTATTATATATGAATTTTTACAAATAAATACCTACAAACTAAATTTGTACGATAACGTCAAAAGTACAAGTTCGGTTTGCATCATAAATATATGTTCTTTTAAACAACCCATTGATACAATAAAGCATTGCAAAATTCCCCTTATTTTAACTAAAATACAAATAAAATGTTTTTTTTAACTTGGTAAAATAATTGGCACAAACTAGTTTTTTAACTAAAATATTATAAAATTGTTTCAATATAAAAAATCACGTGATTAACAAGGAAAAGTTGAGGGAATTATATAATTGATTAATAAGAATGGATGAAAAAATGGTCAATCGGTTAATGAAATTGAGTGAAAATAAGTTATATTCATATGAGTAGTACCAATCGATTCTTGTGTTTTCCTTTCATCAGGTGGCTCATTTGCTTACTTAAGAGTAGAACTGGGCGACTTCATGGCCTTCATCGCCGCGGGCAACATTCTACTCGAGTACGTTATCGGTGGCGCTGCCGTGGCCCGCTCATGGACATCCTACTTCGCCACCCTTTGCAACCACAAACCTGACGACTTTCGCATCATAGCCCACAGCCTTCCTGACAACTATGGCCATCTTGACCCCATTGCTGTCGGTGTCGCCGCGGTCGTCTGCGTCCTCGCCGTCCTTAGCACCAAGGGCTCCTCCCGCTTCAACTACGTCGCCTCCATCCTCCACGTGGCGGCCATTGTCTTCATCATCGTCGCCGGTTTCTGCAAAGCCGACGTCAAAAACTTCACCCCTTTCGCTCCTTACCACGCCCGGGGCATCTTCGACTCCGCCGCCGTTCTCTTCTTCGCCTACGTCGGGTTCGACGCCGTTTCGACCATGGCCGAGGAGACCAAGAACCCGGGCAAGGACATCCCCGTGGGGCTGGTGGGTTCCATGATAATCGTCGTGATCACTTACTGCCTCCTGGCCGTCGTCCTCTGCTTGATGGTCCCTTACACCAACCTCGACGCCGACGCGGCCTTCTCCGTCGCGTTCGATACCGTTGGGCTAAACTGGGCCAAGTACATAGTCGCAGCCGGGGCCCTCCAAGGAATGACCACGGCCTTGCTCGCCAGCGCCGTGGGCCAGGCCCGTTACCTCACCCACATAGCCCGGACCCACATGATGCCGCCTTGGCTTGCCCAGGTCAACTCCAGAACCGGCACCCCGGTCAACGCCACCGTCGTCATGCTCGGAGCCACGGCCGTCGTTGCCTTCTTTACCAAGCTTAGCATCTTGTCGAACCTTCTCTCCATTTCAACGCTCTTCATTTTCATGTTGGTGGCGCTAGCCCTCTTGGTCCGTCGCTATTACGTCTCCGGGGTCACGAAGAAGGCCAATCAGTTGAGGCTGATCGGCTGCGTTGTGGCGATTCTGGGGAGCGCCGTTGCCACGGCGACTTTATGGGGCTTGAGGGTAGATGGGTGGGCTGGGTATGTGGTTACGGTGGCGATATGGTTTCTGGCTACTCTAGGGATTGCCGTGGCGGTGCCGCAGGCGAGGGAGCCGACGCTGTGGGGAGTCCCGCTGGTGCCGTGGCTGCCGTCGATGTCGATCATGGTCAACATCTTCTTGCTGGGGTCTATCGATAAGGCGTCGTTTGGGAGATTTGGCATGTGGACGGCGTTGTTGTTGGTTTACTACGTCTTTATTGGGATGCATGCGACTTATGATGTGGCAAAAGAGTCCAAGGAGAAGAACCGGGTTGAGGAAGAGAACGTCGCCGACCATAAATTGGAAAGTGGGGGGAGCTCATGACTAGAATATTTAAGATCCAAACATCAAGGTAAAAAAGTATTGTGTAATAAATACCAATCATATTGTAATAATTTTTAACTCATTGTGGGTCAAAGCTATAATATTGGACCATATATATTTTTAAGCAACAAGATCTTCATTTACAATGGAGTTATACCCAGTTCATCAGGGACGGAGCTAGCGTGTAAGCAGGGGGGGCCATGGCCCCCTTAAAATATAAAAATATGACTTTGAACCTCTAGTGAAACAAACAAGCTGTGGTCTAGTGGTCTGTAGCTTAGCTTCTAAAGGGGAGGTCCAAGGTTCGACACCTGCTAGCAGGTACTTCTAATTTTCTAAAATTTTGCTTCCTTACCTTGAATTTTGCATGCCTTACAATTTGGTACATTGTTTTTCATTTTGGTACATGTTTTGCCTATTGTCTTACGATTTGGTACCTAAAATTTGCATGAATCGTTTAAATTCATGAAATTTTGCTTCTAAATCCCAAGTTATCCATGTGCAATTTGGTACCAAAAGTTTTCATTTTAGTACATCTTTTGTCCCAAATTTCTCATGCCTTATGATTTGGTACCTAAGTTTTCCATTTTAGTATGGTTTTTTTTTCAATTGTCTTACTTTGTATCAGACTTTCTTATCCCCAACCTTTCTATACAAAGTTCTTCTACTAGTTAAAAATAGACTTCTATGTGTCAATATTTTGGTAATTTGTGTTAAACTATAAATAACATAATAAACTCTTACTTAAAAAATTTTAGCGGCCCCCCCTTACCTAAATTCCTGGCTCCGTCCCTGCAGTTCATTTACAATCTAGTTATACCAAGTGTCTGTCAACCACATCAATATGTTAAGTTCTGTATTTGATGATCTAGTAATTAGGGCCTAAAGCTGTACATAGTTGAGTATAGTGGGTTTAAGAAGAGTGTTGTGAGACCAGGGACGAAGCCAACGTTAAGGAAGGGGGGGCCAAAGTTTTAAAACTTTAGCGAATATATACCTGTGGTATAGTTATAAGGCAAAGAAATCGCAGTGGCCTAGTGGAGTTTTGTATCCTTGTAAGCGTCCAATTCTGAAAGGTGATTAGGTCTCTGGTTCAAACAACATCCCCCACCATTTTTCAATTCATTTTGTTAAAAGTTAAAACCCCGAACCACGTCCCCCACCATTTTTCAATTCATTTTGTTAAAAGTTAAAACCAAAGGAAAAGGATTCAATTATTAGTTTCTGCCCTCAATACTGAACTTTTTTTTATTGATCCCAATCCCACCCAAACAAAAACACAAAAAGGATCCATATTCCTTCCAATCCCAAAAAGTAAACCCTCTCTCCTTTCTTTGCCTTTTCCTTTCCTCTGCGGGAGACGATTCTGCTGCTGTTGGGATTTTGTGGCTACTGCAGTTCTGCAGAACAAAAGAATCAATCCCACATTCCCACTCTAAATGAAACAATCCCTCAATCCAACCTAAAAACCCCTTCTGTCTTCTTCTGTCTTTCGCTGTGGCGCCAACTTTTCCCAAGTCTCCGCGCAACAGATTGGATTCTCTGGGCGCTGGCTGCTGTTCCTACCTCAGCGACCATCGCTATAGCTCAAACAAATCCAGGTGTGCAATATACAATTTATCTATGCTTCTTTTATTGTTTTGCTTTGTATGATTAGTACAAACAGAATGAATTATATGTGTTCTTGATAATTGAAATTGGGGTTTGTGCTTGTTGTAGAATCGGTTTGATAGCATATCTTATTGATATTCTGGATATTTTCAGGTTCATTCATTCTGAAAAATGAAGTGCAAACAGAAGAGGATGACTGCATATTTCCAAAGAAATGTTTTGCAAAGAACAGATGCTACTTTAGAAGAAGACATAACTGATGCTTTCAATTCAAGAGTTGAGGAGTCTCCTCTTGTTACTGAGAATCAGAATGTGATTGAGGAGTCTCCTTCTATCAGTTTGAGAGTTGACACTTTGTCTTCTGATTCTCTAGAACGAGATCCGGGATTGCGTAAGCTGATATGGACATATCCACCTAATAGACGTGATGAGATAAGAAGAGATTATTGGACTACTGGCCCTCACCGAGTTGTACTTCCTAGGTTTCCTAGATCTGGGCCTCCCGGTCATCTTCGGCCCTTCCAAAGCTCATGGTACTCTGAATTTTCTTGGCTTGAATATTCAGAAGTGAAGGATGCCGCATATTGTCTTCCATGCTATCTTTTCACAGAAAAGCCGAATGCTCAATTTGGGAGAGATACATTTGCAAATGAGGGCTTTCAGAATTGGAAAAAGGTTAAAAGTGGGGCTGATTGTTCTTTTAGGAAGCATATTGGGGACAGTCCAAATTCTCATCACAACAATGCTGTGAGTAACTGTCATGCTTTAATGCATCAACCTGGGCACATCGACAAAGCCATGAAAAAACAAAAAACTTCAGACGAAGTAAAGAGGAATATAACTCGAGTGAAGACCTCGATAGATGCTGTTCGCTATCTAGCATTGCAAGGAGTTGCCTTCAGAGGTCGAGATGAGATTGTTGATTCAAAGAATCCTGGGAACTTTATTCAGCTTCTCAAATACACACGTTTCTATAATGAAGAAGTAGATAGTGTTGTGTTGGAGAATGCTCCAAAGAATGCAAAGTACACATCACATGAGGTTCAGAAGCAAATCTTGCATGTTTTAGCCAAGAAGATCAGAAAGCAGATCTTTGATGACATTGGAGATTCTAAATTTTCGATAATTGTGGATGAGGCAAGTGATGAAGGCAGACATGAACAAATGGCCATTGTTCTTCGCTTTGTTGATATTGAAGGATTTATTCAAGAGGGCTTCCTTAATCTTGTGCATGTCAAAGACACAACATCAAAGACTTTGCACTCTGCTATTTGCTCAACTCTTACTTCTCATAAGTTTTCCCTTCAGAATCTTCGTGGACAAGGATATGACGGTGCTAGTAACATGCGTGGTGAATGGAAGGGATTGCATGCACTCTTTTTGAAGGATTTTCCTCATGCATACTATGTGCATTGTATGGCTCATCGTCTTCAACTATCATTGGTTGCAGCATCAAGAGAAGTGGATAGGGTAAATGAGTTTTTCACAAAGTTACCAAAGATTGTGACTGCTATTACTGGCTCCACAAAGCGCCTTGATGAGTTAGAAGAGTTTCAAGAAGATTTTTAAGCACAAAAGCTAGCATCAGGTGAAATTGATACAGGAAAAGGTGCCAATCAGATTCGGAATGTACAACGAGCTTGTGATACTCGATGGAGTTCACATTTGAGTTCTGTTGCTAGCCTTATCCATTTGTGTGGTCCAAGTTGTCGGGTTTTGGAGAACATAAGCAATGATTGTGCTCACTACAAAACAAGGGGGGATGCTAGTACAGCTTTGAGAATTATGGAATCATTTGAGTTCATCTTCATTTTGCATACGATGAAGGAGATACTAAGCACCACTGATTTGCTTTGCAAAGCTTTGCAACGTAAATCTCAAGACATTGTAAATGCAATGAGGGCAGTTGAGACTACTACAAAGTTGTTGAACCAAATGAGGAATGAAGATTGGGATTCTTTGTTAGCAAAAGTCACAAAGTTTTGCCAACAACATGAGATCAATGTTCCTGATCTTACTGCTCCACATTATGAAAGTCGACGACGACGGGATGGCATCACAAATGAACACTTTTATCATTTTGATGTGTTCAATGCCGCCATTGATGTGCAGATAGAGGAAATACGAGCAAGGTTCGATGACAAAGTACTTGAACTTCTGAAGCTTAGCTCGAGTTTGGATCCTCGGGATGGTTATAAAGCTTTCAACATTGGTGCTATTTGTGATCTTGCTGAGAAGTACTACCCTGATTTTTCAGAAAAAGACTTGGATGACTTGAAGTACGAATTGAAGCATTTTCAAGCCGATGCTCCTACTCATCCTGAACTCCAAAATCTATCATCACTTGCTGAATTGTGTCATGGTTTGGCAAAGACAGGAAAGTCAAAGGAATTTAACCTTGTTGATAGATTGATTCGTCTTATTTTGATTCTTCTGGTTTCAACCTCTACAGGTGAACGTGCATTTTCAGCTATGAAGATAGTGAAGAACAGGTTGCGGAACAAGATGAATGATGATTTTCTAGCTGATAACTTAGTTATTTTTATTGAACGAGAGATTGCAGAAACTTTTAGTTTAGATGCTATTTTGAGTGATTTCAATGATCTCAAAGAGCGTCGTGTACTATTGAAATACAATTAGTAATTTTGTTTACCATCTTTTATTTTTGGCCCCCCTATTTTCAAATGCTGGCTCCGTCCTTGTGTGAGACCCAATTAGTTAGAAAGTGGTTTGTTGAGGGCTTGGTGATTTGCAGCTACCCTCTCCTTCAACCTCTTAGCTAGCTTTTCTCAGTTGTGGTGGCTGTATATATATGGGTGTGTGCACTGCAATTTCGGATGATATGAATAACTAAGGTCGTAAAATGTGAATATAAACAACACATCCAAAAATTATAAATTGAGTGTGGCATTCAAAATCTATAACTCTAGAGGTGTTTCCCCCCCCCCCTGATTGACTATGGTTAGACATCAATGGAGACCATGTTAATTCGATGCTAAAACCTCGATCCAGAATATTGCTATTACTTTCTTGTCCTCCAACGTACACCTCACCATGTTCATGAAAGTTATGGTTTTTTCTCTCATTCACTCCATTTTGTTGACAAGTGAGTGCAATTGTAAGCTGTCTTTTGATTCTTACTTCTACACATAGAAATTTGAATTCATTCAACAAGAAATTTGTGACAATCCTTTACTAGTTCAAAAGCAATTAAGATGTTATCACTGATTAACCTACCCTTAACAAAAGCTGACTGTGCTTTTCCTATAACAAGAGGAAGAACTACTGCCAACCTATTTGCAAGTATTTTAAATATCCCTTAATACAATACATTGCAACAAGAGATTGGTCTAAAAATTTTGAAAGGCCTGTGTAGGGATCAAAGCTAGGATTGTGGAATTTACCTGTTTTGGCATTATTCCTGTTCGAAAGAACTCTAGCACAACCTCCTCCACAGATTCCCCAATTATAGCCCATTCACCCTTATAGAACTCAGCAGGAAATCCATCTGACCTCGGAGCTTTATCATTTGGCATATGCTTGAAAACCTTTATGATTTCTTCTCTTGTTACTGGAGTCATTAGAGAAGCTGCAGCTTCTGTATCAAGTGTATGCTTCAGAAAACTTCTATAATAATCAATGGTTTTGCCTTATACAACTACATCTTTGTTCCCCAATAATTGTTGATAGAACTCCACTACAACTGCCCCATTTCCTTTACTGTTGTGACCTCTGTACCATCATCCTTTACTAGTCTTTTGATAGATTGCCTATGATTTCTTACTTTTACCAATCGATGAAAGTATGTTGTATTTGTATCACCCTCCTGAACATACCTGACGCTGGATTTCTGGCGACATAGACTCTCCTCTGCCTTCAGTAATTCACTACAGATGGTAGCTTGCCCCAATTCAAGAATAGTATTGTCCTCGTTAGGATGAAGCAAAACTTCAGATTGCCTGCGAGCCAGCTCCAACTCAGCCTCTCTCGCTCTAGAAGAGATATTAGAATAGCTCTCCCGATTCAACTTTTCCAATTTATCCTTAAGAAACGTTAGCTTCCTATAAAACTGTTTATAGTAAGCCCCTTAAGTTGCCTCATCTCATGCTTCTAAAACCAGCCCCTCATACTTTGGATGTTGCCTCCACATTTTGAAAATTTTGAAAGGCTTCGGAAGAGACTCAACTTCTGGAATAGAATCCATCAACAATCCACAATGATCGACACTCCAGGCGATAAAGTACGAGCCACACTATTAGTAAAAATATCCAGCCGCTCTCCACTAACTAGGAATCTGTCAAGCCTCTTAGCTATTGGGTTTGCTGCTTGTTTATTCCACCAAGTCAACCAGGAACCCTGCACAGCATGATCAGCTAGCTTCATGTCAGCTATCCATTGCCGAAACTCCAAGCTACTTTGAGTAAGGACTGTCATGTTGGAAGCCTCATATACTTCAGCAACTGCATTGAAATCCCCCATAAATAGTACAGGCCTCCCCTGCTGACACTTTGCAAGAAGTTCAGCATACATCAAAAAAATTTCATGACATTCGGATTGCGGAGCACAAAGTTATGGTCTTCCTAAGTTTGTCGAAATTGAAAAATTGCTCATTCGGGGTAGCAAACGACATTTTTTTGGGATGAATGACAGTGGCAGATTGAAAGATCTTGAAAAGTTATGCGAAATAAAATAAATTTTGCTACAGTCGGATAACCTAGCGCAAAGTTACGTTAATTTGAAGTTTCGGCCTTAGGTCGGGTCTTCACCGCGGCCGACAAATGCGGTGAAGCCTTCACACGCAGCCGTCAACCGCGGTGATGCATTCACCGCTTTAGTCTCAAGCAAACATGTGTAGATTGGGAATTTTTCATAAAACGTGTGTATTTTGGAATTTTATTTTTAAAAACAAGTATATTCTGGGAAAAAATCCTAAATTGTTGGACCGGTAGGATATGACGCCACTGAACCTGTATCATAACTACTAGTCACGGGCCCGGCCAGTTGGCCGGATTTCTTTGGCAATCACGTAATACTAGTAGTAATTTGTATCAAAGTTACGCCTTAGTATAAGAAAATTTTAATTAATTATATATACTAAATGGTTGAATCAAATGGTAGAATAAGAAAATCCAAATTATTAAAATACTTAAATAATTCAAAAGGATCAACATAATAATGTTTTGTGACGCTTTAATTGACTAATCTACAAATATCTTATATAAAAATGAAAGAAAATCCTCGTGGAAGGGAACCGAATTCTAAAGTATATAACAAAGTATGATATGTGTTTGGTATAAAATTCATATCCAATAGAGAATAGCAAAAATTTGTATTATTATTGATCATCATTTTGATGCAAGTAGAATTTACCTCGATCAAGTTAGGAAGATTGTTTTTGTTATGCTCTTCCTCATCTTTCTCTATTTTGATAATTGTTTAGTCACTTGTTGAATTCGAGATGTTGCAATATGTGAGCTTCATTCTGAACATCAAACTCATTCCTCAATTTGTAGAAGATCAGTAGGTGGTGGTCCTCTAACTCTACCGTTGCCTTGGAATAGCCTTTTAGCTGACATTCCAAAAAATGGAGCTCCTAAGCCACTCCATAAGCATAATGTTTCAAAATGGAAATATATGGGGAAACCCATGCCAATCAAGCAATTATCTCATTTTACGTCTCCATGCAAACTAAAATGTGAGTAGAAGACTAATGTAGCCTCCCAGAGTCTCCTGAAATCTCTTCATATTAACAATATTTAATATGTAACATGTACGTAATCTTTCATCGTGTATTAGAGCCATGCACTGCTAATTATTTAGAAAAAAAATGTTGTTTATTGTTGGATTGGTAATATATTTATGAATTCAACAAAAAAAATTAACTATGTTGAAGAAAAGTAAACATTCAGGCATTTAACATGTATATTTATCATCGAACTATATAAAACCCAATTTCCAATTAATAATGGTTGCATTACCTACTTGTTGTTGTGTTTAATAATAGAGCATTCTAAATCAACTCCGCTAAAGCAATACACAATACTATTTTCTTTTCTGCCCGTAGTTTCAAACAAATAACTTTCCCAAAAAATGTCTTACTTGTACCTCCAGATTCATCAACAAAGAAGCATTTCCCATTTTCTTCATTATCATCTTGAACAATTTATGGAATGCCTTCCTCTGCTCTAAATTTAATTTTGGATACAATATATTGAATTTATTGATTAAATTATTAGTATTGTAATTTAACCCCTCATCGATCTTTCAATTTTGAGAATTTAATCTCATAGCTTTAGATGGAAATGCAAACCTAAAAAATTAGCCAGAGAATTTCCATATTTTTGTAATAATTTTTCTCTCTCCACAAAACATATATCTTCAATCTCATCAGTAGAAAGTTTCATATTGTGAAAATTTAGCTCCCTTCTACGATTGAACAAGATATCATCGCTCAATAAATCCCAATCTTTTTCCAAAAAATTGCACATCGAACACTTGGTAATGAATAAGAATTATGAAAAACAAATTCCTTACATTATATTCTGAACCTCGAAATGATCGAAAGTAACGTTCATATACTGGCATGACTAAATCATGAAAGTTTAGGGGTCAAAAGTGATGTTCTTGCCTTAAAATTAGCTTAGTGAGGTATTTATTTTTTAGGAATTTTACAATGCTTTATAGCATTGGTGCTATAAGTTTTTGCCTTTATCATTCTGGTTTCATGACCAGAATCAGTTGATGTACCGCAATTCAAAAAAATATGAATTCGTACAGCCGGTTTATATCATTTCATGTCGGCCTATGTTGGTTTAATGAACTATATGTACAAATGAACTATAATATTTTAGGACAATGTATGTACATTTAAATCTCATATTCATGGAATAAATCATAAATAAATTGTTTTTTAATTTCATTATTTACTAAAACAAAGTCATTTCATTTAAACACGTAAATTTATCATGCCGGTCATACTGATGGTATTTATTCCGGTTTAATTGCCTGAATTTTTTGATTTACCGCGATGAGCAAAAATATGAATTCATCTAGTGGTATGATCGAAAGCAACGTTCATGTAACGACATGACTAAATCATGAAAGTTTAGGGGTCAAAAGTGATGTTCTTGCCTTAAAATGAGCTTAGTGAGGTATTTATTTTTGAGAAATTTTACAATGCTTTATAGCATTGGTGCTATAAGTTTTTGCCTTTATCATTTTGGTTTCATGGCCGAAATCGGTTGATGTACCGCAATTCAAAAAAATATGAATTCGTGCAGTCGGTTTATATCAGTTCATGTCGGCCTATGCTGGTTTAATGAACTATATGTACAATTGTGAAATACCATTAACGTCAAAAGAATTGAAACATATATATAACATATTTCAAGACAATGTATGTACATTTAAATCTCATATTCATGGAATAAATCATTAATAAATTGTTTTGTTAATTTCATTTTCTAAAACCAGGTCATTTTATTTAAATACGTAAATTTATCATGCCGGTCATACTGCTGGTATTCATGCCAGTTTAATTGCCAGAATTTGTTGATTTACCGCGATGAACAAAAATATGAATTCGTCTACTGGTATGATCGAAAGTAACGTTCATGTCCCGACATGACTAAATCATGAAAGTTCAGGGGTAATAGTAATGATCGTGCCTTAAAATTAGCTTAGCGAGGTATTTATATTTGAGAAATTTTACAATGCTTTATAGCATTAGTGCTATAAGTTTTTGCTTTTATGGTACAAATTGAAGTTGTACTTTTAACGTTATGGTACAACTTCAGATTGTACCTATACTCTTTTGTACAAATTCTTTTATTGTACAACTTGAACTTGTACGTTTATGTGATGGTACAACTTCAAGTTGTGAAGTTGTACCATAATGTAAGGGTACAAATTCCTTTATGGCACTACCTGAACTTATAAATTTAACGTTATAGTTTTTTTTTCCCAAGAAATGTCAAGAGAGAAAAAACTATACAATCTACCCCAAAACCCTCCCAAACCAATACATCAGTGAAGCCACCCTACAAATACGAAGGAAACGATCTCAAGAGGAGAACTAACAGGGCTTACTGCGCTACTCTATGGGCAGCCCCGTTAGCAGTTCTAGGAACTGCCCTAAACTCTAAGGAAACAGGAGCTGAATACAGGAGCCAGAAGCAGTCACGAAGCACCGGACCTCCGAGGGAACCTGAAGAACTGCCCTGGCGAAGCTGACGAATCACCACTTCTGAGTCACCTTCGATGATGAAACAAGGAAGGGACTTGGAGACCAAGAGGGAGATAGCGTCTCGAGCTGCAATAAGTTATGCGAGGTAGGGGTCAACAATGCCTGGGTGCTGGAACCTTACTGCCAACGCCACATGCCCGTCTGTTCCACGAACCACTAGTCCAAACGAGCAACCAGAAGCACGAACCGCAACATCAAAGTGATCTTCAGATAGCCAACAGGAGGAGGGATCCAGGAGGTGAGGCGAGAGCTTGAGGGCTGAAGGGGAGGGACGGGTATCGGAGGTGAGAGGAAGAGACTACGCGGACTTAGAAAAAGCATTGACGAGCTAGAGACTGGGCATGAGGCTGATAATGTTCAAAAACCACCTTATTTCGAGACTTCCAGATTCTCCACAATACGCAAACGTAAAGGAGAACGTGGGTTTGGGGGTGCTCAGAAAGCATAACATGTCGCCACCAGAGACTGAAAATCACAGTCGGGGCCAAGGTTTTATTAGCTGCGAGCTCTGTCCCACAAGCTTCAGCGAGCTGGGACTTATCATTTAAGAGCTCACTATAAATAGGTTGTTAATATTCCTCTCATCCCAAAACTGGGGAGACTATTAAAAACCCTACAGGCCACTCAAATGACGCTTCAATGTTCCTTTTGCTCAACATGCTTAGGTTTAGGACTTCATTAATAGGAAAATAGGTTACAAGCTCAATAATTGGCTTCTTAAACTCCTCTCCCACATTGAATTTGATCCATGACATTATGACATTTTAGTATTCTTTTCATCTAAAACATGAGATGTAAACCGACCATTAATGATTGTAAAGCATCATAAAGAGATATTTTTTCATCCAAAATGAGAATTTAAACCGACTATTTAAAGTCGTAAAGTGCCATAAAGAGGTCGCTTTAATGACTCATTTGTATCATCTCCTCGAAAACTTCCTGTCGACGAGACCAATTGCCAGTAAGGGAGGCCTACTGGTTTTAGCGACAAGGACATGATTAATTGTAAATAAACTCATGAATGAGGATCAGCAAAAATCACACCCGGTGAATATACATCTTCACTAGAGAAACTCGGAAAGTCCTCCCTCTCCGAATTAAGTGTCATGAACGTGAATAATGGCTCATTAAAGGACTCATTAGTATAATTACAAAATTTAATAATTTATTTAGGATAAATAAATGCCTTTAAACACCAAATAATGGCATATCATCCCGCAATTAATCACTTGTAACGGTTAATCGGAGAGCAAAACTTGTCGTAGCCGTGGCCGCCGGAATTGGGGTTCCCTGTCAATTGTTCGAACAACCGCAGAGGAGACCAAGTTAGTTTAATCCATCATTTTACATATTCCTTCCCTTCGGCAGAGTGTCAAGAGCAGGAATGTGAATTTCCCTTTTAAAGTTCCAATTTGCACTATTTCGAACCCGTCAATTGTTCGAACAACCGCAGAGGAGACCAAGTTAGTTTAATCCATCATTTTACATATTCCTTCCCTTCGGCAGAGTGTCAAGAGCAGGAATGTGAATTTCCCTTTTAAAGTTCCAATTTGCACTATTTCGAACCCAAGCTACGTAAGCAGGGAAAGATGACAAGATAAAGTTGTATTCAAACCACTCTCCAGAGTAGTATAACTTCAAAAAGAGAAGCTTATCCGATCAAAAAAGGATCAGAATCACCGGCCACAGGCCGTATCGACAAGAAATGTCGTTCTTATTATGTTTACTCACATTTTCAGGTGCGAAAACAATCTGTTCAATCTGCGCACAATAAACTCAATTTGCCATCAGGGTAATAGAAGCAATCGCCACTGAGGCGAATCCTCGATCTTAGAAGACAGATCCCCAATCATGAACCGAGTTAACCCAACCCAAGAAAAATCAGGAGACAGGGAAGGAAAGAAATCAAAATCAAATCCCAGAAATTCGATATCCAAATTACCTTGGAGTTCAGGCTGAAGAGAGCACCGAATCGCTGGGGAGCGTAGGAAGAGGAGGAGCAGAATTGTGCTGATGGAATGAATTCTATAATCGCACCAGCACCACAATTGTAATTGTGGGAGTGAAAAGAAGTAAAAATTGAATACCAACCGTACATGTCGAGAACGACGGTCTTGTCCCCGGCGGAGTTAACGATGGGCCAGAATGTGTCATTAGTAACCTCTGTGACCTGTCCGACGGTGGCGACAGTGTCCGTTTCAATTTGCTTCAAGTTGTACATTAAAGCACCAATACTTTATAGCACAGTAGAAGTACTCATTTTGTTAAACTTATAAATCAACACAATGGTATAAACTGATTTGACAACCCTGATCAGTTTAGTCGTAGTTGGTATAAACTGATTTGAGGGTGAAGGAACTCATTTGAAGCTCTTAAATTTTTTTCTAAAAGCTCTTTATTTTTTGGTTTTGGTTTTTGTGTTTGGAATTCGTCTTTCAAACTACCAAATAGCCGCCCAATTGTTTTTAACCAACCCATCTAACTATTCGAATCTTCTAATAAATTGCCTAAGTAATTATATAATAAGTAGTTGAGTTAATGACTCAAATCTCCACGGCTCCGTGGGTTGCGAAGAGAACAGGAAAAAGAGAATTAATGAGGTTGTTGCCAAGAACCTCCATATAGTATTGTTATTAGGAGGAGGAATAGGATCAGGATTGGGATAGTCTACTCAATACATACGGGCCCAAATACACAGAGCCACTACAAAGACCAACAGAAAGCCCAATGAAAGCCTAAATAGAGATTAAGGCCTTCCAAATCCAAGCTCTCGTCATTTACGAACACACACTTCAATATTTCTCTAAATTTCTCTCTACCTTTACCCTTACTTCCATATCACCATACTAAAGCTAAGCACACAGAAAGTACGCATATCGTTATTAATGAATTAAACTCACATTAGGGATAATGCATGTACTTGGCTTGTGGGTCCATATCTTCTTGTTTGTTCTCATAGCAAACTCACTTACTTTTGATCTCTCTTAATTTGATGACGACTCTTGATATCCTCGTGAACAAGCTACTTAATTAACACACAATAGTAACAATACTACAATTTTTGAATCAGAAAACACAGGCCGAGTGCTTCAAAAAAAAAAAAAAAACGAAGAAACAAAGGAAATTAATTGCACAATGAAGCACTGAGGTTTGAAGTGCAAACTAACAGAGACAGAGACAGAGACAGAGGTGAATGCAGTTTAGCGCGGGACATCTACTTTCTGAAGCTACACGAACCAAACTAACGACCACAAATCAGAACAACTCGCCTAGCACGTATGACTTCCAAAGCTTCAACGCGATATTCAGCATATTAATCAGCAAACAGATACAAATCACAGGATCCGGAAACGGAGGGCGATCGGCATCCCAAGAATGACCTGGCGAAGGTGACGTGTTGGTGAAGGTGGAAACAGCAGCAGCACTGCCGCCGCCGCCTCCACGGCCGTCGCCGTTCCCGTCGTCGCCTTCAGCTACCGCAGATATTGCTGCCGTGAGAGAAAGGAGGGCCGCCATCATCACCAAGATTAGAACCTCAACAACGCTGGGTTTCTTCATGCTAGGCTAGGCTAGTTAGCTTTTTTGTTGCTTTTCCTCCCTTTTGTATGTAACCGCAGCAAGCTGGGATATGTATGGTGTAGAAAACAGGGAGCATCTGGAATTGGATGGAACCCGGGCGGTTTTGATTGAAACCCAAAACCGGGTGCACCTAAAAGTTACTGTAATGTTGACTAGAATTGGTAAAAAACTGCTAACCCGAGGCCTGCTGGTGTGGGTATAGCTAGAGAATAGAGAATAGAGGTAGACTGGTAATGACATAAATGCATGAGAGCTGGCTGGCTCGCTCGTGAACTGCTTTCCCAACCACTATACTCTTTTCCATTTCAGTGCTAAATGTCATATCTTGGGTCGTCAGGGAGACTTTTTCTTCAGAAATAGAATTTGGAATCTTTTCGAAAGGGAAGAGCTTTAATTCGGCTGAAAGGGGTCCGATCTCTAGACTCTAGCCTTTGGAAAACCACATAACTAGTTAGTTGATAGTCTGTCGTCTTTAACTCGCACCTAATAGATTTGGGTTTAAAAGTAAGAGCACTTTTACTATGCTATATAGTATTGGTGCTTTAATGTACAACTTAAAGTTGTACCATAACATTAAATGTATAAATTTAGGTTGTACCATAAAGCAATTTGTACTATTATGTTATGGTACAACTTTAAGTTGTAAAGTTGTACCATAACATAATGGTACAAGTTCAAGTTGTACCATAAAAGAATTTGCACAAAAAGTATAGGTACAGTATGAAGTTGTACCATAACGTAAATTTACAATTTTAAGTTGTACCATAAAGGCATAACCCTATAGCACCAATACTATATAGCATTGTAAAATTTCTCTAAAAGTAAAAAAACAACAAAAATAAATAATAATGAATATGTAATACCTTAGGCGAATCACACATCGACAAAGAACGGGAGAGATTCATAGTATATAAGTAATAAATCGGCCTTAACTGATAAGACGCATTTTGGGGTGAAATGGAGAAGTTCTTCATACTCAGTGTGGAGTACAACAAGGATGGGTGACCTTATGGAAGTCACCTTCAATTGCACCCCAAGTCAAAAACCATGAGGATTAAGGCCTAAAGCGGACAATATCTTTGTCGTAAAAAAGTTCGGGATGTTATAAGTGGTATCAGAGCCTCTCCACGATGGTGGGGCAAACCTCAACGAGGGCGTTGAGTGCCAGGGGGGGTGTATGTAACACCTTCTAGACCACGTCGGTCGCGAGGAAGAGATCAGACCACGATGGTCGCAAGTGGGCATTGTCGTGGAGTTTGATAGACCTCATTGGTCGCGAGATCTAGACAACGTTCGTCGCGAGTTCGGTAGACCACGTCGGTCGTGTGATTTAGAAGTCCCTCGTCGTAAGATTTGGAATGGTCATGATAAAGAGGAGGCAAGTAACAAGACGTCAGTTCCAAAAGAGAAAGCATGAGGTTAATTGGGCAACCGTCGATTATTCCACGTTCAAGGACACGTCAGCCATGTCCGAGGAAGAATGGAAGAAGTTCTTTTTGGAAGTTACTCTCCAGACCGAATTTACTCTCTAGACGGTTTTTCTACGACGGTTACCACCTCAAGGCTGTAAATAGGAGGAGGAGTTGACAGAGAAGGGGTTCTCCAAATCCACAACCAACCATTTGACACCCTATAACTTTATCATTTCCTCTACAATGCAGCCTTGGTCGTACTTGCCTATATGGAGGTCTCGCTGAACCTCCATAGGAGTAGGAGTAACTTTACTTAGAATATGTAGTTTTCTTTCACCGTCAATCAAACACCCTCATTCGAACCTTGTTTGAAGAGGAGTGAGCCATGTCTTAGTAATCGTTGTCCAAAGAAGTAAAAGGTGCAATCAATTCGATTCAACACAAGTTTTCTCGCCGGAAAACAGAACTCGTAATCATACACCTTCTCAAACCATCATAAGGCATATCAACAGTTAACCCCATAAATAGCAATATATATGCAATCATCAACATAAAAATGGTCCCTAACAATTAAAGTAAGGCAATCATATCACCTAGCAGTCCACGGTTCATCATATAGCATAAAAGTCCATACACCCCATAATCGTGCCATTCTAGTTAACCTAGGGCATTTGTAACCATAAATGTAATTATCATGATACAACAAACCCGGTATGCCGTGTTAATCCCTCACCAGTTCTGGTTGCTCAAACACTGGTTTTAGCCTCCCGTACCAAAACCTCAATTTTCACCAACAAACCCAGAATCAAAATCCGAGACTGTCTTAATATCCCCTGTAGGGTCCCCGTCAATGTTAATACTAGCATCTGAGTCAAATTCTTGATGAAAACACATCAAAACCCTTGTTGGAGCTAAATTCAACGATTCCGACTCCGACCTAGATAATTATCGAAATTCATAGATTAAAACTAACAAAATTATTACCCCATCGTAAGAAACTCGTATATAAAATTTTGGCTTAATTTGGTTTCCGATCCACCGAACGCCAATTCTTCCGACTAGAAGCTCAAGAAATTCTTGGACCAACCGTTCACTACAAGCTCGCTAATTGGGGGACTATGTTGTAAGAAAAGACTAGATACTTTTAATGTATTTCACCAAAACTCAAACAATTGTAGGGGTCGTTTGTTTCATGGATTTAAAAATAAGGGTTTTGTAATTTAAAAACCCAAGGATTTATCAAGGATTTGAAGCATTATGGATTTGTAACAATCTTTTGTTTGTTGAGATATTTTATCATGGATTTAAGGGTTTGGGAATTAGAACTTAAATTCCAAAATTACCATACTATCCTTTTCTATTTTTTTGTCATGTTGATGATATGTACACAAAACAAAGACTATACGTATTAATACGCATATTGTTGTCATAAGGACAATAATAATAAACGGAAAATTCCGTTTAATTTTAACGTAACATATATCGGTTACCAATTCTTTGTCCTTCTTTTCAAAAGTAACATATAACAATATATATTAGAACCGGGGAACAAAGAATTACACGTTTCATGAAAAGGCCCAAGAAAACTAGAACACAAGAAAATGTATAAAAATCTAACTCATGTTTGTACATTAATTGAATATTTATATTATTTATTTTTTGTTAATTAATTAATTATTTATATTGTACAATTAGTAAATGTGAGGGCAACTTTGGAATTTTAAAAATCATGAGGGTATATAGGTAAAATCTCATCATGGATTTATGGCATGTAACAAATCCCATATCAATATGTGGGATTTACAAGTCCGTGGGATCCACAGATTTGGACCCTTAAAATTTTTGGACCCCATGGATTTGGTCCCTAAATGAAATGCAAACAAACAATAGATTTTCCTTAAATCCATGATGAAATAGATTTGGGTACCAAATCCATCATCCAAATCCACGAATCAAATGACCCCTAGGTTTAATCGTAAAATTTTCTAGCGAACATAATACGAATTTAGCCGGAACTGGATGTTATAATTCTCCCCTCCTTTAAAGATTTTGTCCCCAAAATCTGACCGTTAGTTGATATACCACAGTAGTCGTTCCCTCCTAACATGTACTACTACATATATTGTTACTACCAAACTCATAGGTTAGTAGATTTGAAGTACAAAAGTAAACACATAACTCCTCAAGTTCCCAATTTTAGGTTCATCGCCTATATTGAGTAATCACAACATAATCACAACAACAAGTTCAAAAACATATATCAATAACAATGTTATTGACCTACAAAATGGTTGCAACCACAACATCAAGAATCATATCTCTATTAAAACCTCTACCACCATACTCTTCATGTTGGTATGAATGGTATGAATTCTTTATATGAATGTTCAATAGAATTTTTGAATTCTTTAATATAGGCCAAACATGTAATGGAGAATCTCAATACTTCAAAACAACATACACTTAGTATGATTCAAAGATATATGAAGCTCAAATGAAGGAAGTTCATGACCAAATAGAGAATCTCAAAGTAAATGAGGGAAGTGTTCACTTGCAACCCAGCAAACAAAGGAACACGTTTTAGAGGAGCCAATTGAAGTTAAAATACCTCGAGTATCACTTAAGTTTGAGAATTAGGGTAGATATACCACTTAAGTTTAAATAGAGCGTCGGGTACCTTTAAAGTCAACAAAATGTGTATCCATCTACTTTTCCATCCAAATTAAAATTTTAATTACTTTTTGGGACCCAAAGCTTTTAAAAGCAATCAAACTATATTTCAACAAGTTGTATCTAATATAAAAATTAGAAAACCTTCTAAACATATTATTACTAAAATGGCTAAGCAAAATTTTTCAATATAATAGATAAATTAGTAAAAATAATAAATGAGTATTAAGAAAATTAATAAATATACTACAATATAATAATAAATAGTTAAAATTAATATTAAAATATCTATTTAAACACCCTAATTTAATTAGAAGCACCATTAGAAATAGTTAAAATAGAACCTAATAGATCATCAATACATCAAAACTAAAGAAAGATAAATGGAACACAATCATAAGGAATAAAATATATTCCAGTAATTGAAAACATATTTAGAACGAAAAGAGATGGAAAGTAACCAAGCAATAAAATGAACTATAAAAGCTACAACATTCAGTAAAAGATGTAGAAAAGAAAATATGACTATAGGAAGAGAATTAGAATTACTAAATTTAACTAATATGAAACATCTAGAATATAATATTAGATGTCGTTTGGATGAAGGATTGTCGAAGAATTGTGATGCAGGATTTTAAAACAATCTCATACAATGAAGGATTTTAATCAAATAACACGTTTGGAAAGAGCTGTACAAATTAGGGATTGTGGCCATTAGAGATTTCAAAAACCCACATATGTGGGATTGTGAAATAGCTGATGACCATCAGCTATTTTGAAATCTCTCATTCTTTAATTTATTTTTCCAAAACTTACCCTTATTCATTCTCGAATCCTTCTTCATTTTTCCTCCACCAACCCTGCTTCATTCTTCCTCCAGCAACGACCCTTCTTTAT